CACTCACTCACTCACTCACACACTCACACACTCTCACACTCACTCACTCTCTCACACTCACACACACACACACAAACTCACACTCACACTGTGTGTGTGTGTGTGTGTGTGTGTGTGCAGGGCGTGCTCCTGGTGTATGACATCACTAACTCTCAGAGTTTTGAGAATCTTGAAGATTGGCTGAAAATGGTGAGAAAAGCCAACGAAGAGTCCGACACCCAGCCGGCGATATCACTGATCGGAAACAAGAGTGAGTACAAACAGCATGCTGTGTAATATTTACATTAATATGTTAAGTTACAAAATGAGATGTAATGATTACATTGAGTTATTTGCTCATCCAGGGGCCGGATTCACAGCAATCTTCTTCTTTCTAAGAAGTTTGAAAAGATGTTGCTAAGTGTAATTCTAAAAAGTTAATTCTTAATAAATTAACTGAAGATCTCATGAATAAGGAGTTGAAGGTTATCCTAACTTTAAGAAGTTGTTTACGTTGTGTTTTAAGAACATTCCTGTCATCTTAACATTTTGTCCCACAAACAATCGTAAGTTCATAAAGATAAATTCTATGAAGTTCATAAGAAAGTTTCTAATTGCAGTTCTTGAAAAACTCTTAATAAGTTCTTAGATATTTCCATATAAGAACATATTCATTGTTTTTTAAGAATAAAATGACAAGCTTTGGCCTTGTCTAATAAAGCAAAATCAAAACTTTACACTTGCAAATCATAACCATATATCTGTCCATCTGTTAAATAACAATCGTCTCAGGATAATTTCTTTATATCAATAAGAAATGGTGAATCTTTCTTGGATGATTCAGAAGACGAGTCTCAGTTTTGAGTGAACTTTGAGTCTTAAATTTCATAAGTTCTCAATATGACCCCAACACAAAAGTCTGTACAGCTTTTCCAAAAAACATCTATGTGTTGAAACTTTGCACACACATTCATGACCCAAAATGAGAAATATCCACCAAATTTCAAGAAGAAATAAATAGTTTAACCAGTATTTTGAGCACTTCGAGTGTGGGTCAAACTGACCCCAACTCAACAGGATTGTTAAACTAGAGTTCCGTAAAGTCCTTCTCTCTGATCTTCGTCTTCTAAAGAGGTGCATCTTGGATCTACAAGTAAATGGCATTATTCTTTTGAGTTCATAGAACCTATGATGCTATGTTTGCAGAAAGCACAGGTTATCTTTAATTGTTAATTTTACACAATACATGCTTTCATACGTTGAGTAAAGTCAATAAAGTTCTGAAACTGGTTGAGTTTTCTAGAATTCTGATTTTTTACAGTGTAGATCGATAATGAGCTGTAAATGAAATAAATTGACTGTTTAATAACGGTGAGAGAAATCTCTCCGGCTCTTAAATCACATCTATGATCATCACAGCGCTGTGTGTGATAGGTGGAATGGTTTAATCAGTGAATGTATGATTCTGACCTGTGACCTTTGACCTCTCTGATGTATGACTGACCATCTCTACTGACCCCTGTGTGTGTGTGTGTGTGGGACCCGACGGCTCGACGGTCATTGTGTGTGTGTGTGTGTTTCATTTAATCTCAGTTGCCTTCTGATGTTTTCAACAAATCTAGCAGAGCTTATGAAATGAGTAAATAAAAACATGACATTATAGAAGTCTATGAACAATTTGGAGTTCAGTTTGTGTGTGTGTGTGTGTGTTTGTGCATCACTGATTGGTCCATGGATGTATCAGGTCGTTAGTAAAATGCAGTTTCTTCCTCATTGCTGAAGTTTTGTGTGATTGTCCAACTTTCTGAAGGCAGGGCAAACTATTCAGATTTGGGAAGTAATCTCCTCATAGTTAGGACCAGTAGAAGTGTGCAGTGATGATGTGTTTGAGCTGAATGTCGTGTGCTGATGCTGTGTGTGTTTCTGCAGCTTCAGGAGCGTCTGACGGGCTTTCTTCAGTGTGTGTTTTATGGTTTTAAGGGTTGTATAGTGATAAACTGGACTCAGGTTTTGATGATTCGTTTCCGTAGAGCAGAGGTGCCTAAACTTCTTTCTTTTTGTTTAGGACGTTGTGTGTGTGTGTGTGTGTGTGTGTGTGTGTGTGTGTGTGTGTG